ACTATGTTGTACATTTGTAAAACGGAGACAACACATGAGGGTGTGGCGTCCTCTTAAGCTAATTTATGAAGGGAATCCCCAATTATTTATACCTGTGGCCATTGAATCAGACCGGATCGACCACAGGGCCCCCCATTCCCATAACAAAACCTGTACTCTTCTGTTTCCTTAGTTGTACATAAAGTCCTATATTTCTTTCTGTCGCCGTGGTGCGTTAATTATGTTGCCTATCCACACCATTGTATACCGTGCATGTAAATTTGCCAACAAAAAATTATAGGAGCAACACTGTTCTCGGGCATAACCGAGTAGTCGTTCGGCTGTGTCGTACGCTTTCTCGGATGCCCAAACTACCTGTAACACATTATTTATGATTGACAAATTTTGGGTGTGCTTTACCACAGTGTCTTGCTACTTCTTCATAAAATGTTTTTCAACACAAATGCACGAAAAAAACTTAAATACAATTTTGGATCAGAAACACTTTTATTGATGCAACTATAAAATAATCGTAAAATAAAACACTTAGCCTTTGCTACAGTTGTCACGTATCAGCGTACAACCGTCGCATTTACGTTCTCGCCGAGTTTCACGACAACAGCGTCACTGGCCACTGCACTGTGCTTTGCATGTATATGGTATTATATGCAAAAATATTAGTTTCACCTTAGCACATTTTAGCTTTATTGGTCTAAAAATTATTTACTTATTCGCTAAACGGCAAAACTATACTTCTACATTTAAAAGTACTAAATATACAAATTTAAAATCGTATGGTCTAAGGTAGAATACTACAATAGTACTTATACTATTTATGTTTACCCACAAAAATAAATATTGTCAAATTCACTCATAAAAAGTTGAAATAACATTTGTCAGCTAAAACTTATTTTAAAACTGCAGGACCAGTATAAATCAGAAAAAAACATTGTAGGATTTCTGTTGAGGTAATTTAACCTAAAGGTTTACTTTAAAATCACAGTCACCATATTCTTGTATGTGTGTGATACATTATAAGTTTACCTTTCAAACAGAAATAGGAAAAGCAGTACATACGGTACAAACCTCGGAGAACGAAAACCGTTTATTCGGAATTCAGGCACCTGCTACTACTTTAGGTGTGGTATAGGCAGGGCTTGAAACCGAAAAAAATTTTTCCGGTTTCGGTTTCGGTTTCGGATACCGGTTTTGATTTTTTCCGATTTCGGTTTCGGTTTCGGATACCGGTATCAATTTTTTACGATTTCGGTTTAGGTTTCGGATACCGGTATCAATTTTTTCCGATTTCGGTTTCGGTTTTGGATACCGATATCAATTTTTTCCGATTTCGGTTTCGGTTTTGGATACCGGTATCGATTTTTTCTGATTTCGGTTTCGGTTTCGGATACCGGTATTGACTTTTTTCGATTTCGGTTTCGGATACCGGTATCGATTTTTTCCGATTTCGGTTTCGGTTTCGGTTTCGGATACCGGTATTCATTTGATTTCGGTTTTTAACGGTTTTAACCGGTATTCAAAATCAGTATCGAATATCGATTTTAATCCCTGTATTTATAATAATTTATAATGACATAAAATACTGGCGTAGGAACCTACTTGCCAACCGCCAAACATTGAGGGGCGTACGATTTAGGGTCTGGTTGCCTGACAAGTACTATAGTATTTGCAATCAATGATAATATTTACACTGGAATGAATACGTAATTATGACGTATTTAGTTATAGCCTCTCCACTTCATAACACATTTTCCAAATGATTTGCGACCTAATTTTTTAAGAGTTTGTGTAACTTCATCGTTTATAAGTTGAAACTATTTTCTCAATGAGGGGCTAACTTCATGTGTGTCCCACCCACCACATTAATCAATTTGATCACAGCTTGATTATATTATACCAATCTAGATTAGGTATATTAATCCAATAGAGTATGGTTGATGGTGGGTTGGTAGGGAGCACATTTTTCAGTCGACGGCTTTTAGGGAAACCCAGACAATATTATATTATGGCCTAATAATGTATTATAATAAATTATAAATAATATAAATTATTTATAACTATACTATAATTATTGACTCAGTATTTCATAATTTATTGTTGGCTATTGTGTTAATTTAATGTAGGGAAATTATGCCACATAGTTATTTCTGATCGTCTGTGGCGGCAGAAAAACACGACAGCTTATAATATAGTAAATAATAATAGTATTATTGTTATACAATTTTTATTATAGCGTATTTCTGAGTATACTGTTTTAGAATACGACTATACGATTAATCCATTTACCAAAATAATATATAAATATATAATATATAAATATAATAATTATAATATTGCGTATAATAATAATATTATATTATGCGTCTAATAATTTATATACCCTGTGAAATTACCTATGCAAACATACGGGCGCCCGCAGACGAAGACTACTGAACCAGTGCAGCTAGACCTACTTACATAATAATATATTATTATATTATAAAATATTAATTATAATAATATAATATATTAGGCACCATTAATCATTATTAATATCAATTGTATTACTGCAGAACTCAGAAAGTATACATAATAATATAAATATCTATATAGGTAGGTACTTTCGAGTTAATATTTTAGAATCCAGTAAAAAACTAAGTAAAACTAAGTAAAAAAAAAAAAGGCATAGCACATGACCTAGTCTACAGGTCTGATAAATGGACCAAATTAATAATTTTTAATAATATTATTATAAACGCGCCATGGAAACGGCAATATAAATATTATAAACTATTAAAATAAATAATAATATATAATATTTATATGATAATTTATAAAAACTAATAATATACCAACAAAAATACTATGTCAACTCCATGTAAAAAAAATGTAATTTAATTTAATTCTTCGTTTTGCGCACGGAGTAAACAATTACCCCAGACGTATTAATACAGTATATTAATAATTTAATATGATAATTTATAAAAGACTAATGAACTTTAACTTAGCATAGTTATTTTTTATTTAAGGATAACTTAACTTTAACTAGTTAAAAAAATTGGTTAACTTGCCCAGCTTTGCCATCATCCGCATGATGTTATAATAAATAATTATATATTATAAGTTATAATATTATATTTAATATTGATCACATTGTATGATAGAAGGATAGAACAAATTTACATAATATACACGATATTTATTATTTTCTACCATATGCATTATAAATTATATTATTCATAGCTTTTAAACAGAAATTCAATTATAGTCTATAGGTTTATTTTAAATGCGTAGAACTTTTTAAATGTTAGATATTAATGTTATAATTTTTCGACTCCCGTTTCGGATATCATGTTATTTCTTAAGATTTCGTCTTAAGTTTCAAAAAACGGTATTATTTTTTCCGATTTCGATTTCGGTTTCAGATATCGGTATTTATGTTTTCCGATTTCGGTTTCGGTTTTGGATATCGGTATTTATGTTTCCCGATTTCGGTTTCGGTTTCGGATACCGGTATTTATTTTTTCCGATTTCGGTTTCGGTTTCGGAAACCGGTATCAATTTTTTCCGATTTCGGTTTCGGTTTCAGATACTGGTATCGATTTTTTCCGATTTTGGTTTCGGTTTTGGATACCGGTATTATTTTTTTCCGATTTCGGTTTCGGTTTCGGTTTTTAACGGTTTAAACCGGTATTCAAAACCGGTATCGAAAATCGGTTTCAAGCCCTGGGTATAGGTAGATTTAGGTATACGCACGCCGGTATAACATTGCAGCTATTAAAGTCTGGTGAAAACTCGTCTCAGCTATACCAGTGGTGGCGTTGTACGTTTTTTAACATACAGTCGGCAAAATGAACATAAACAAATATCTGGCGGAATTAATATTAAAACATTGGAATCCATAAAACTCCACTTTTTACAACACATAATATTCATCCACCGGGGTAGGTCCCATAACTGTTTTCCAATTCTATACTGCGTTTACACAATTATATTTGTCCTATTCGATTCCTCAAAATAGTAAGGGTTTTAATAATTTCCCCAAGTTTTCCATATGCTGTTTATACATTTCATTGTTTATTCTAATAGTTTCCTTCCTAAGTTTAATGCCAGTGTATAATATTATAATCATAATATACCTCCAATCTTATATTATGATCGAATTCAAAGTAATACATAACACAATATTAGAATGTTATATTTTTAATTTTTTTTCTCAGTTTGCTCTTCAGCCTTTCAGTTTATTTCTTTTATATTTTAATTGTTCAACGTTAGCGCTGTGACCTGTGAGGTTTTGCATCTATAACAAGAGCAAGTAAAATAGTAATATTTTTAAACTCGTTGGACCCAGATAAATATTAAACTAATTTAGGGAATGGCAACAATTATTATCGTATCTCTTTTAATTTTTTATGTTCCCGTAGATTGTTGAGCTATAGCAATAGGCAACGTAGAAATACCACAGATTCTTATACCTATAGGAACTACTAATTGATGTCTTATCTTATAATAAAACAATAAATTATAAAAATCAATTAAGCAAAAACTGATTATCAAGTGCACATCTAGCTTTTCTCAATACGCAAAATAAGCCAAACTACGCTTTAGAATAAACTCTAGTTTACTAAGTTTACTAAACTATATGTCTATATTTGAGTGCGTTCAATACAACAGCTCTTTAAATAGTTAAATATATAAAGTAACGGTTATAGTTAATAATCAAACATTTTTTTTTAAAATTATTTCAGTTTATAATTACCTAGCAGAATGAGTTTATCTATACATCTGTGGATTTTTATGTTGGTATTCTTACCATCCTGTTACAGATGTCGAGCTGAGTTCTATTTTAAAGGTATAAATCATAACTTGATTATTTTTCATACAAAATGGTAACAATGATTAAATGTTCTGTATATCTATACAGATGGTTTGAAGATAGAAGAAACCGACTGGTACCTCATCTAAAAACCAAAGAATTAGATGATCATATTCAAACAGTAGCCGGCGATATTAGAGAACGTGAGATGAGGGATTGGTATTATGAATATAAATTAAGTTTGGGTATTGGAACCCCGGAGCATGGACTATTGATCGATTCTCAGCTTTCTGAAGAACTGTACAGGCAGGCTGAAATTATTTCTGAAGCTTCCAGTTCTATAAGCAGTAAAGAATGTCGAGTGTAATAGCAATATGAATATCATTGAAAAAATATTCTTAATATGCATACATTTAACGACCATTTAATTTATCTTGATAGTGGTGGAGGACAATGTGCCATAGACTTATCGAAAGTGAAACTAGACAAGACATCTTTGGGTAAGATTTGTTTGTCCATGTTTTACAACAAAACTGCATGCATCGGGATGAACTTGAAGTATCGTAGTCCTGACGGTTCTTGTAACAACTTGAAACGTTCCTACTCGGCCACTCGGGTAAAGTAACCACGGCTTATAAACGTTTACTGTTTAATAACTATATTGATAGTTTTTATGGTAATTATAATAACATTATAATTTACATTTGCGCATATTTAATGATGTGATTTCATTTACCTTTCATACAGAATTGGTTCAATTTCATTTATCACATTCCTTACCCAGTCCTAGAAGGCTGAGCGTTGAATTTGTCAAAGACGATCACTCACCAGATGACTTCAAAACGATGGCGATGGCGTACTGGACGATTTTTGTAGGCCATGATCTATCTCACACGGCAATTTCTGTAACGAGTAGGATTAACACATAACTCCATATATATCGATTGATCGTAATTAATGAATGCAAATTAATATTAAATCCTTAGTGAATAGTAATAAATCCGTGAGATGTTGTTCAGATGACCGAAAGGAGCTCAGTCCTCGAGATATTGACCATTTGTGCATGCAAGTAGTGATACCGGATGAAGATCCATTTTACATGAACCGTATTCGATGTATGAACTACGCGCGTTCGGTGCCAGCTGTGCGTTCCGATTGTACTTTTGGACCCAAGGAACAAGTAAGAGCCATATAAGATAAACCAGAATAACGTATATTTCGTTGGTTATAACTTTTATTAATTAAAATTACGTAAATAATTACCAGATTATTAAATTTATATAATTCCATTACAATCGTAATTAAAATTTTAGAAGGGAATCTATCTACGAAAAAAAACCAGTGACGGTTGTAGTGGTGCACATTTTTGATACTTCTATTTAGTGTTGAGAACTAGCTTTCCGAATTCCCCTAAAATCATAGATAATTACAAATTGAACTTCTTAACATGGTTATTCTTCGCAGATGAACCAAGCTACTCATTATTTAGATGGGTCGATGATTTACGGTTCGTCGGCGAAACGGACATGGTCATTGAGGACCAACTTGGGCGGCCAACTGTTGACAAACATGGGCTGCTATAACAATAGCCAAGACGACCCGGTACAGCCACAGTAATGCCACTGGAATACACCGAATCAAATGCCTGTCAGTATGGCAGTGGCACGTGTTATAGGGCTGGTGACATCCGAGCAAACGCGCTTCCCCAACTGACGGTCATGCACACATTGTGGATGAGGGAACACAACCGGTTGGCCAAACTACTCTCACACGTAAACCCGCACTGGGACGACGAACGTATTTTTCAGGAGGCCAGGAAAATCGTTACGGCATCCATACAGCATATCACTTACGCTGAGTGGCTGCCAGCGCTGCTCGGGGAAAACTACACCAAACTGAAAGGGCTTGAACTGTCGACAAAAGGCCACAGTAACGAGTACAACGAGACCACCAACCCGAGCGTCAGCAACAGCTTTGCGACCGCAGTATTACCATTCGCTAATTCCATGATAAGTGACACCATCAGGTTCGTGCCCACCTGGTATAGTAATATTATTATTATTATCGTGTATATGAAGGTTATTTCTGGTTGATTTTTTGATAAAAAACTATGAACAACTCTAGTAATTTAAGCATGTTTCTATGGAACATTTAAGATCAATGTGTAAGTGCAAAAACGGTAGAGTTATGTTATTTCACCCCGGTGAACCCGTTATCGGCTTTTGATTTTTAAATGGTAACTACATAATATTTTAATTTCAAACCAAAATGATATTATTCAAATTTCAATGTTTGTGTATAATTATACCTTATTGAGCGAATATTTTTTGTTATTTAGGTAACTCTTAAAGTTTAAAAAACAAATTATAAAGTTAGTTCAGGTCTATTTTATAGTAGGTTAGGAATTAATGAAGGATTGTCGGAAAATATGTACGATAGTTTTGAAAGTGGAATATTGGTATGGTCGTTGAAAATCAAGGTTTCTTAAACTATATAAAAAAAAAACTATCATAAGTAATTATACTTTAGATAAGTACTGCATACAATTTTAGGGAAGCTTTAAACTAATCTACAACGTAATTAACAACGTAACAATGGTAAATACTATTGGGAGACTATTGCTACTATTATAAATTTATGTTTATACTTGTAGATTCTGATCCAGTGGAGCGATGAATGTATTGATTTTCAATGATCTGTGTTCCTCTCTCCCAATAGCTTTCAAAACAGCCGATTTACGCAAGATCGGTATTCAACAAAATCGATTTTAGTTTTTGTCGTAACTCTAAAACAAATGAACTTAGATAAATAGAATTTTCACTGGTAGTTTATATTTGCATTTTCTATACACGATAACATTTTCAAAATATTTTGATTTGTTTTGAACTGTTTAGGGACATTTTAAGTTTCCGATTTTATTAGTTTTTTTTTCTATGAATGTATTGAAAATTTAATACAATATATCATATATTAATACAATGACATTAGAAAAATATTAAAAATCAAAAGTCAGAATTTTTTTTTATAACCGTTTAAAGTTCGGATTTTGACAAAAAGTGTAAAATGAAAATGTGCAAATTATTTTGAGTTAGAAATTCTTAAAAACTTTCTTTTTAAATCTAAGATTTTAAAATATAATATAAAATTCATGCATAAACATATGCTTATGAATTCCTATACTTGATAAAATGCTTAATATTATTTTATCTTGTTAGAGCTGTTTACGGACATTGTCTATTTTAAATTTTTTTAGTTTATTTTCTATAAATATCAATAAAATTTTATTTATTGCGTAAAAAAGCGTGAAAATTTAATGCGAGGCTAATGATATATTGTTTCAATAAAAGTTAAAAAATATTAAAAATAAATAGTCATAATTTTTTTTTATAAGCATTTAAAGTTCGAATTTTGACAAAATTTATCAAAATTAAAATTTAATAATTATTTTGCAGTTAAAAACTTATAAAATGTCCAACTTTCATACCTAAGGATTGAAAATTTAAAACATGGTTCCACATTAATTTATTCACAATAATATCATCAAAAATACTTAGTTATATCATAGGCTGACTGACCGTTTTCGCTCAGAATCGTTTTTCTTATACAATAGTATTATATTATCATTGAATTTTATCATTGAATTTATACATTATTATAGGCATGTAAGTATATACATACTTAGAATATTATGTAATTCATTATTTACATAATTTTATACTTGATAGTTAATAGTATAATAATATAAGCAATTTGATAGATATATACTCTTCTTCGGGTTTACAGTATAAAATTGAAAATTATTATCTCAAATTTTTCTTTTTATCATTTGTTTTTATGACGCTTTTTAATATTATGGATGCCTTTGAGCACTTGTCCCCTTGCCCCTCATCCCCTTAGGAAGACTATGATAATATTGTAAATAAAAATTTTAGCATTAAGGTGTACAACTTCTGTACCTAAATTAAATATTATGTTTACAATTTTCACATAATTTGCACACTTCAATGGAATTTTATTTAGTATTTTGTGTCATAAAGTTACCAGCTATGTCCCAAAATAAATCAGATCCAATTATCAGAACACTGAATTTTCAAACTTGTTATATGTTCTTTGAAATTTATGTTCAGATGCTCGGTGCTATTAAAATTTGATACCGGTTCCGCCATATATTACCTACAAATTAAAAGTTTGTTAAAAATATGTCAGTGCACTATTTGTTTTCTCTCTGACCTATGAGTAACATAACAATGTTGTGTAGAGCAGATCCAAATTTGTAATGTTAGGTTCAATAAACATTGAGTAAAAATATTTTCTAAAGGTATATTTCTTTATATTTTATTTTTAAAGCAAGTTATGGGTATTTTAAGTTAATAATATAATTAATTATTTAACATAGTTATTTATTATTTATTTTGAGCTAACTGGTTGAGCCCTTTGGACACAAATACAATTCTACACACAATTAGATAGGTATATTATAATTTAACTATATAACCTAATGATATCAGACAATATAATGTTGTCATTATAGTGTCATATAGATAACTCACAATTAAATTAATAAATCAATAAAATCATTAAAATCCCATGAGGTGCCTACAATAATATTCTTACCTTTAAGTTTTAGTATTCATTTAATATTAATGTTTTTATAACTTACTTGAATAATTGCAATATTTATAATGTATACTTGGTCTGTAAAATTGTCTTAAAGAAAATCAACTTCTCAAAAATGTTCAATACATTGGCTTGACTTCCTAGTTCCTCGTAGGTACCTACATCATATTATTATATTTCAGTTTTGAAAACCATGATATAATACAATGTGTATAGTGTATTTGTGTGAACTGAAAACAGTAACAGTAACAGTAAATCATTAAGTTCATTAAGTTTCAGCAAATATTTAAAATTTTTGAGAACTCAGACAACTGCTTACTTACGTGTGTCGTGTTTGAACTATTCAACTATGAGACCCTAGTTAGACAATAGAGTATAGACCATGGCTATAGACATTACAAAATGTCTGTAAACCAAAAAGTCTAAAACTAGAAACTAATCAGTTATTATTGAACTAGCCAGACATGATAAGAATCGGTACGATGTGTTGCCTATACAAGTCCCTAACATAATAATAGGTAATCGGAAAAAAAGTACACCTATAAAAAAAAATAGTGAAATATATACTGACAATCTTTTTCGTGTACAGTTCTATAGTTGTGCTTTGTATTTTAGTATTTTCATGTAATATTAGTACATATTTGTCATCTACCATAATGAGTAATAAATAAAAAAAAAATATAAGTGGACAATTTAACAAAATACTTACCTATTCTTATACATATACTGCAGTTGTACAGTTGTACTTTGTACTTATTTAGTGTGTAATGTATAAGGAGGTATAAGACATAAGTTTTATCTACTATAATAACTATCTTAAGCCACATATTTTGCTTTAGTAGGGCCGTAGTTGGCATCGAACAAATAATATGACTGTAGGGTGCTAGGGTGGAATAACCGATTTTCTATATTCTATATTTTCGATCTAACTATGTACCTATAGTATCTATAGTTATTCGTTTATGAATTACAACAAAATAAGGAAATCGCTACATGATAAATCGAGTGAACATCCAATGTTGTAAAAATTTGAATTTCAAACGCTCATAAAATTTAATTTGACTTTCCGGTAGAAATTTTTTTATTGATAAAGGTAGACAATTTTATGAGTAATCTTGTATTAGATTTTAAAATCTTAGATTTAAAAAGAAAAATTTTTAAGAATTCTTAACTCAAAATAATTTGCTAATTTTCGTGATTTTTCCATATTTTGTCAATTTTTGAACTTATGCTTATAAAAAAAAACTGTGACTAACGATTTTTAATATTTTTCATCTGCCTTTGAAACAATATACTAGGAGTCTTCTATTAAATTTTCAAGCTTTTTTATCCAACAAATAAATTTTTATTGATATTCATAAAATAAATATATGCATATCTATGGTATTAAAATAAAATTGACCTATAATAGGTATCTATAATAAATTCCAAATTAATCATATCACAATATCCATTAGGTAGTTATAAGCGTTATACATCAACAACAAACCGTGATACTATCATAGATATATAATAGTACACTATAGAAGTTTCAAGTACCCACGAATAATATTATACAATCACAACAAAATAACTAAAATAGTTATTCTAGGTATGTAATTTCGTCCAAATTTGAACTTAAAATGTCTGTAAAAAATAACTGTGCTCATATATTTTTTAGATTTTTTGGCTACAGTATGAACTATTTATGAGAATCATTTTTTTAAATTTTCAATCCTTAGCTATAAAAACTGAATATTTTATAATTTATTAATTACGATGATTGATAATTTTCGAAATTTTGATAAATTTTGTCAAAATGCGATCTTTAAATGCTTATAAAAAAAAATTGTGCCTACGTATTTTTAATATTTTTTAATTGCTATTGTAACAATATATCAGGAGCCTTGTATTTTTACACTTTTTGGCCCAACAGATAAAACTTATTGATATTTATAGAAAAAAAAAACTAAAAAAATTGAAAACTGAAAATGTCCGTAAACGGCTCAAAAAAAGTCAAAATATTTTCAAAATTGTATGGTGTATAGGAAATGCTAATATAAACATTCAGTGAAATTTTCATGTATCTACAGTAATTCGTTTTTTAATTACAACAAAAAAGGAAATTGCCACATGAGAAATCGAGTGAATATCCAATGTTGCAAAAATTTGAATATCAAATGCTCATAAAAATTTAATTTGACTTTCCGGTAGAAATTTTTTTATTGATAAAGGTAGACAATCTTATGAGTAATCTTGTATTAGATTTTAAAATCTTAGATTTAAAAAGAAAAATTTTTACGAATTCTGAACTCAAAATAATTTGCTAATTTTCGTGATTTTTCCATATTTTGTGAATTTTTGAACTTTAAATGCTTATAAAAAAAAACTGTGACTAACGATTTTTAAAATTTTTCATCTGCCTTTGAAACAATAGACTAGGAGCCTTCTATTAATTTTTCAAGTTTTTTAAACAACAAATAAAATTTTATTGATATTTCTAGAAAAAAAACTAAAAAAAATGAAAA